TAGAGACTCTGAATGTCACCAGAATCACATGACTATGTCCTTAAAGGTCGTACTACACTAAATGGGACAGGCAGAGAACAGATCCAGGCTGACACAGACCAGAACCTGAGAGGTCTTTGGCCCAACACTGCATAGTAGCTGCATAACTGGGGCCTGAACGTGTGCCCGCCGACCAGGAAAAGGATGGGAGCCCCACATTTCGGCACAGGTGGGAAAGTTTGGGAAGCAGGGAGTGGGTGGCACGTGGAACTGCAGGACCCCTAAAGGGTGGTCCTTTTCCTCCTGTAAGAGACCTTCTGCCTCTTTCCTCAGATATGTGTCATTCTGTGCACATCTCATGGCCAGACTTTTCGCACCTGGCCACCCCCAAATTCAAAGGGGATCCGGACGGCCAGCAGGTGTCCCAGAGATCAGCGCACCTTCCTAGGGAGGAACAGAGGGACTTGGGCCCAATACAGCAAATGCTGCTTCCTGGGAGACAGAGACGTATGGGGATGGCAGAGGGGACCCAGCCAGCAGACAGGATGCCACAGATGACGTCAGCAGTCCTGCAGATCGCCAGGCTGGCAGGTGCCATCTGTAGCCAGTGGTCAGACAAGAGGCAGCCCAGGGAGCTTGCCTGGTCCCTCGCCCAGGATGCGGACAGCCAGGGGCCCTGTCACACGCAGCCTTCACACCACATGCTGGAAGCTGTTCTCTCTCTGTTGCGCCTTAAGTAAAAATCACTGGAATCACAGCAACCCAATTCCCTCTCCTGCGCAGTCCAGCCCAGGGCAGTGGGCTACACAGCTGACACCCTCAGGGGCCATTTACACCGCGTGGGGTTACAGCAGACTCCACGGCCAGTGGATCTTGGGGCAGGGCAGAGGTCTCCCCTGTGTCCTGCTCTCTCTTTGGGACTCTGTCTTCACTAATTCTTCCATTTACCAGACCAGCCCAAGGAGGAACGTTACTCAGCCATCTTACGTTCTTATGTGTGTGCATTGTTTTGCTTTTTAGAGGCAAACTACGTATGGAAGGACTCGCACAAATGAAACCACAGGAGCAGGCAGTCTGTGATGGCCTGAGAGGAGGTGGGCACCACAGGCATCTTACCCTGGGCCACTTCTGCGAGGTCAGTGGGGAGAGGCAGGACTCAAGGTCCACAAGGACCAGAGAGTGACGCACTCACTGCGTCCCCCAGACTTGACCTGGCCCAGCCACCAGCATCAGCCCACCCCTCCAGCCCTCAGGCTTCTGGGAAGCAGCTTACACCTCCCGGGTGTGTGTGGGTCCGACTGTCACCATGTGCGCCAGACACGGGGACACAAAGGGACAGCCTCGAACACAGACACACACACGCTTAGTGCCACACACGCACAAGTTCACCCACACACCTTAACTGGCACACGCGCAGACACGATCGCACACTGTAACACAGCACGCATTTGCACACTCTCACAAGCCCTCACACATGTATATACCATCACATGTCCCAATAGAAACACAGCATATGGTCACACATCTTTATTCAGTCACACATTGCTACACAGACACATAGCCTCCCACACAACCTTACAGACAACACTCACACCACTCATACACACCCTCCAGCTCCGTGTCTTCAGATCACGCCCCAGCCTCACACTTCCTGCATGTGACTAGGAAGGCGCCACGTGGCCCCACTCGTGCGAAGGCAGCTGGGCTGGCGCCTCCTCCAGCACGTCCTCGGGTGGCTGCGCTTCCCTCCCCAGGGAGGCTGCTGTCGCGGCAAGAGCCCGCGTGTGGCGTGAACCTGAGCTCCGCCTGGGGAAGGGCCGGCGTGGCAGGGACCTGGCCCCCTCGTGCCGCTCCCCAGGCGTGGCAGGGACCAGGGGCTCCCCTCCTCTGTATCAGTCTCCCCGGGCTGCTGCCACAGGCCCCACAGACCTATTCTCTTGCAGCCTGGAGGTCAGAGCCCAGGTCCTAGAAGCAAATCTGAGCGTTGGCAGGAGAGATCCTTCCACGGACTGCAAGAGAAGCCACCGCCTCGCCTCGCCCTGCTGGCTAGGGCCGCCTCCGCCGCACACCCAGGACGGCCCCTCCCACCTCCAGAGCAGGGACGCTCACGTCATTCCGCAGGACTATTCCACGGTCGGGCAGGTGCCACCACTCTTGGCGGGGCAGGGTCTGCTTGACCTATCAGAACCCTCTGGGCCCACCCAGGTCATCTGCAGCCTCAACGTCTCCGAGTGATCCTCTGTGAGTTTCTCTGGTCACACACACGGAAGCTGTGGACGTCGTGGGGGGTGACTATGCAACCCACTGCGCCTGTTCAGATTAAGTACCCCAGCGCACGCGGACGCAAATCAGGCCCAGGGGACCTAACAGCAGCTCTGGGGAGCACGGGGAGAAGCACAAGCTCCACCGACAACCACAGAAGGCCAAGCCCCAGCTCTGCCCGCAGCAGCTGGGTGCCCCATATATCTGCCCTCGGTGTGCTGCGGCCTCCTCACCTGTGCAGGAGACGGCAAAGCCCGCCTCTGGGGTACCAACGGGCAGAGCGCAGAGAACGTCGCCCCTCCTGTAGATGTCTACACTGTCGTCGCTGCCTTGAAGTCACAGCCCTGACTCTCCCAGTGGACTCTCCACGTCCCACACCGGCTTCCTCTGTCCCTCGCCCACCTCTTACTTGATCAAAGAGCAGGGCCTGGCTCTCTGCTTGCATGTTCACAACTGGCTAAGGGCTGCTGGCCCTGGGAAGATCTCACTTCCTTCAAGGCCACTCTGCAAAACACTTGCCAGTTTTCTAAGGAGGCACGTGGCCTCTGACTTTGAGAAACTTTGAAATACTGAATCGTGAACTTGTCGGACAAAACTGTGGGCAGTATTGTCTGGCGCCCAGCAAGCCTGTCTCCCACCTCACTCCTTGGACTGCAGACTGTGTCTTTGTAATTCAGGAGATTTGTCTGCTAAGGAAAGGGGTGTGTTGCAAAGTCCTTTCCAAAGAAGGAAAGGAAACATCTCTGAAGGTAACAGAAGGATGTTTGAATGCTATGGTAGTAGCCGTCCCATGAACCAGCTGTAAGAAGAGGCTCGCAGACAAAGGGAAATGAACTGAGGTGCAGAGCTATTGGCTCCAGCTGTAACTTAAAATTTAGCCTTGCAAACTACACTAAGAACAAAAACCAGGAGAACCTAACTTGGAGGTTTCCGGTGGAAAATGCCACTGTGACTTGTGCACTGCGTTCTGCAATACGGCGTCTTCCTCTCCCCAAACGTGCCTCCAATTTCCGTAAACTCCAGTGGAGACTCCCGGGAAGACTAGAGATGCTCCCCATTCCTCTCTCCTGAATCTAATTTCACGTTTACTTTTTAAACCAAGCACTCTATGAACTCCTGCCTTACACCCGAAAGGCTCCAGGGCAACGAAACGCGATCCTCCTACAGGAGTGCTGCACCACACCGGCCCAGTTAGACCAGGAGGGCGAGCGACGGGGGAAGGCGCCCAAGTGTTTCCCGCAGGAAACAGCGCTGGAATCATGGCAACCCTTCTTACCACACGGTCTGGAGGCCCGACGAAGGACACACGGGGGAAGGTATTATTCATTAAGACCGTGTTAGAAGGGGTTTGATAGGACTTTATACACTAAGAGGCCTAGAAGCCTTCGCCCTGATGATGGAATTTTCAGAATGCTTCACTGGGAAATACGAAGCTCTGCTAGGATGCAAAGCACAAGCGTTAGAGGATTGCTCCGAGTTTGCCCTTTGGGCCTTTCAGTAAAAACTACTTCACAAGGACAAGAAGTATGACCCCAAGGAAGTACCGCTCAGGATTATCTGCCTGACCAGAAGTAAAAACAACCTGAGGAATTTGCTGAAGTGATTCCATCCCATCGAGGCACTAAAGGAAACAGCTTAGCCGTTGTCCTGCTCAGTCACATAATCAGTGGGACACAGAGGCAGGGCACGCGGGTCCTCCCTGCCCAGGAGCCAGGTTAGACCAAGCCCAGAAGACTTCATCACGTCCCGAGTACCTGGGAAAACCTTACTTAATGCATATTCATGAAGCGCCTGCTCTGTGCCAGGCACTGCTTGGGCCCTAAGCAACCCTCATGATAAGTAAGACAGAGAATGGGTAACAGCGAGGGTAAGGCAGGGTTAGGCAGAATCGCAGCAGGACACAGGAATGACGCGGGTCTGGGGAGCCACAGCAACAGCAGACAGAGAAAGTGGGGAGCCATGTCTGCAGGTCACCCTGAGGCTGGCTCCACTGAGTAAAGCAGGGGACAGACATAGCCTGGGGGCCCCTGCAGAATTTTGAGACCTCTTTTTGTGGGGAAATAGCTCCGCCCCACCCTTGGGAGAACTTCTGAGTCCTCACCCAAGGAAACCTCTTTCCTCGAGCAGAACTAGAAAGGCTGTCATGTTGACTCCACCTCTGGAAAACCCACAGGGCTGGCGACGGTGACCAGACGCGGACACTCCCAGTCCCCAAGGGGAACCTGGAAGTACAGGAATCGCTGAAACATGGGTAGAACATCTATCCTCCCAGCACCTCTGTGACTTCACCACCTTCCACCGCAAGACACAGACCCAAGCAGGTGAACTGCTGGGGCTTCACAAACCGTTGCTTGTAAATATATAGAATTGGTATTTTCAAGTTCCACTAGTGTTACAAAATGGGCAAACATATGATTTTAAGCCCATGGAATATTCACCAAAACCAATAAAAATTAATAAAGTCAAAGAATTTAATAACATACAGTAAATTCTGTGCCCATGAGTGATTCAAACTATGATACTACAACAGGAAGATGACAGAAATTGTTAACATTTGGAAGTCAAATAACATATGCCTAAATATTCTATGAGTCAAAGAGGAAGTCTCGAGGAAAACTTTTGAAATAGAGAAACTGGGTATAACTGAAATATGACAGATCAAAATCTGTAGGTGCAGCTACAGCAATGTTGACAGAAACAAGTTAAAACATTCTGACCTTGAGCATCGATGGGTAAAGGAAGGCAGGCGTAAGAGTTACCTCAAATATAATCAGCGCATAGACCCCCGCGAGGATGGCTGCCGCAGTGGTCACCTGCGCCCCGATGCTGATGCGGAGGTACTGGTGAGACAGCAGGAGCGGGATGACCTGGGTCTGCGGGACGGAGGTCCGGATGCTGATGGAAACGGTTTCTCTGCAAAGTGAAGCACAGGTCTTACGGCTGGCCGGGGGGACAAGCCCTGAGTCAGCAGCACTAGCGTCCTCCCCTCATGTCCTTCCGAGCCCACGTCAGCCACAGCTTTAGCCAGAGCCCGAGGGGATCTCGGGGCGATTCGGCCCCACACCTACCCTCACAGCGACATATGGCTCAGAACACAGCCTTCTGGGGCCAACGCGGCCCTGAGTGGAGGCTTCCCAGCCACCACCCATGGCGCTCACCTCCCTGCCGAATAAGATGCAGCAACCTACGCAGCTGATTTTAGCCACTAATTCCTTCTCATCCACCTCACCAACATATCATGCTTTACCCAGCAACAGATAGCAAAGTCAACTGTGTAAACTGCACTCACTGATCGTGGGGAAAGACCACAAACGAGAAGTCTGTCGCTATTCAAACGTTTATGGCATGCCAAAACTGAAGTACTTCTCTAGTGTCAGTCAGTAACTTCTGTGAGCCTCCCTGGGTCCCCACAAAACTCCTTTTCTGAAGTTCTCACCCCCAGCACTGCAGACTGTGACTGAAGTTACAGGCGGAACCTTTAAAGAGGTAATAAAGGCTAAATGAAGTTATTGGGGTGGGTCCTAACCCCAAAACAGATAATGTCCATATCCAAAGGGATAAGACACAGACACACACTCAGGGAAGACACTACAGGAAGGTGACCATCTAGATGCCAGGAGCAGTCTTCAGGAGAAACTAGACCTCTGATACCTTGCTTCTGGGATTTTAGCCTGTAGGACCTGAGCCCAGAAATGCCTGATGCTCCATCCGTCACCTGAGCACTTGGGCCTGGCAGACCTTGCGGGCCCACGGGAACCAAGAGTACAGACTGAATATGGAGTCGCATTACTTACAAAGCGAAAGAACCTAAGGTTTCCTAGACTTCCCGTTTATGTCTTCAGAATGTTAATGAAATCAGAACATTAACTAAAAACGCCTTTTACTTCAGCATGATGTGCATCCTCTGGGTCCTGGCCGAGACAGCTGTGGTGCCTCCCACGGCGCTGTGCTCAGGACTTAGACCACCCGAGTGCCTTCTCCTAGCTCTTGCTGTGCCGCCACTTGGCATCCTCTGAGACAAGTGTTTTAGGTGAATGCTGTGATTTGACTGTGTCCCCTGAGAAGCTCATTCTGGCCTAAAGTCATATGTTGATGGCATTTGGAGGAGGACCTTTGGGAAGCATCAGAGGTCAGATGGTGGGGCCTCCACCACCGTGCTGGTATCTACGAGAGGAGGAAGAGAGCGAGCTGGTGCCGTGCTCTGTCTCTCTGTGCGGTGCCTCTGCTGCTCCCTGAAGCCTCTCCAGATGCTGAGCAGACGTTGCACCATGCTTCTGGGCGTCCCACCCTCCAGAACTGTAGGCCAAATAAACTTCTATTCTCCATAAATCAGCGAGTCCTGGAGGTCCCGTTATACCAACAAAAAGCGGGCTGAAACAGTAAGCTTGCCCCAGACACCGCATGTGCTCAAGACCTCGTTTCCTGCAGAACCCACCTGCTCAGTACCGAGAAGGTCCTGCTCACCTCCAGGTGCTCGCTTCTTCTTGGATTTAGAAGTACTGTCCAGTTGTGGGTGACCTGAAACAACCAAGGTGTGAGCTTGGGGTAAGGCTTCCCCCTGAAGCATCATCCGGAATCTGGTACCACTCTGTCCAGACATTTGTTATGAATGAGAGAGAGAAGAACAGCAAAGCGTTTTTATGTGAGCTTTTCCAGGATGTGTGATGCTGGGGATTTCCACAATTCAGAGGATATTAAGAAAAAGGAAGATGAAAGTATGAATACAGAATTAGTATACAAAGGTACGAAAAGCACAGAAGTGAATATAATTGTTCCTCAGTAGCTACTCAGGTTTTTCCCCGACCCTTCAGGATACCAAGAGCACTGGATTCTTAAACCCTAAATCTTCTCTGGGTTACATAGGATCTCGAATACATGAAAACGCCGTGTAAAATACTTATTACACTAAAGGGTTTAGGGAACAAGGAAAAGAGCTTATACATGTTCAGTTCAGACACAAATATTTTCCAAGCATTTTCACTTTGTACTTTGCTGAATCGTCAGATGAGAACCCTGTAAACAGTGAGGGCCCAAATGTCCAAATTTACTGTGAGCAAAAGAAATCACTAAGGTTATCGGATACTTGAAGTCCCCCTCATCCTGAGGCAACCTACAAGGATCGCTTCTTAGGAACTGTTTCCTGCTCACAGCCTGGAGGAAACAAACACATGTCCGGAAAATGCCCTGCACCTCTGTGTCCCAGGACCACCTGCAAGGGCCCCCACCCAAGAAGGTGCTTCCTCTGCTCCTGGAAAACCCACCCTGTGTCTTCCTGTCCCCAGGAAACTAGGGGTGAGAGGGATTGGGCCAGAGCAGCGGGCAGCTGGCCAGTGGGAATGAGAACTTCCAGTGAGTGGGCTGGAGTCTGTCCCACAAATCACCAAGGAAACTGAAGATAGAGAAGCCGGTGCATGAAGGAACAGCAATTCCCTCAACACAGTTAGGTCTTTGGAAAAAAATGCTTTAGTAAAGTTCTTACATTTGTTGGGTTCCTGGAACTGAATTTGTACCTGGGCATTTGGGGAGCATCAGCATGCTATGAAGGGCCTCTTTGCAGATGCCAGAAGCTCAACACAGCTCACCTAATCTGGGTTATGAATATGCATGTGCTAAAAAGATGGCTAGATAGCAGGAACTACGTCTAGAGTTCCATGGTAGAGTAAGGTAACTACAGTCAACAGTTTACGAAGCATTTCAAAATAACCAAAAGAGGCCAAAGGTACCCAACACAGAAAAATGATAAATGTCTCAGAAGAGGGACACTAATCACCCTCACTTAATCATTATCCATTGTAACATGTATCAAATTATCATACTGTGCCCTGTTAATATTAAGCATCAACTAAAATTTTTATTAAAATAATTTTTAAAAGTAGATTGTCCACCCTCTTCTGCAGAAGAATGTCAGACATGAGGCAGACAGAAGTGCACTTTTCTTATGCATTGCCAATAGTCTCCTTGCAGTGGGCTGTGCACACCACACAGTGGGAGCCACGATTACGGCCTAAGACTGTGGCAGGGCAGCACCAGCCACTGAGCAAGAAACTGCATCCTCCCAAATCAGATCTTGGCTCTCTGGACCATACTCTGTGAGGCAGAAAAATGTGAGGGGCACTGCCCTGCATGCAAGCAGGGTTTTCTTCTATGGTTAGCTACAAAGAAAACCCACGGGCTACAGCTATAACTTTGTGCAGAAGTCACCATGAACACCCAGTGCAGGCCGTTAAGGCAGGAGTCAGGTGTGTCAGGTACATGGGGAGGCCATGCCTTTCCCCACTGGGCCCTGGCCACGGCGACACCCAGCTGCCGGCTCTCTCCCTGTCTGCAGGCCGCCTCTGCAGGATGTAATCTGAGACAAAGTCGGCACGGTGGCCTCTGGTTGTAGATGCAGACACTCCAGGGATCCGTGCATTCAGCAACTGTCCACACACAAGGCAGGTCTGCTACACCATGAGCAGAGGCCAGATGGGGTAGCACTTCCCAGCAAAACCTCCCTCAAATATGTATGTAATGTCTCCCTGCGTTCCCGAGCACAATGGTTCTGAATGAAGTCACAAGTCTGATTTTACTGAAACGGCATCTGAAATGATTTAGAGAAAAGGAAAAAGAATTTCAACAACAAGGTAAAATATAAAGAGTCAATGGCCTGACTAATAATGGTATTATCGCCTTATGGCTTCCCATCAAATCCACTCCAAAGCAAACTCAATTTATAACGGGATGAAACGAGGTTTTATGGTTGCTTTCAAATAATACGCAACTGTAACTTGCTGTGGCTGCCGCCGCCTCGAGTTCAAGGCACCCCTCTGGGTCACCTCCACCAGGACGTGCTCTTCTCTCCCAGATCGACTTGGTCCACTCACGGCCAGGGCCCCCGCCAGGTTGAGCTGCAGCAGCGTGGAGTCTGCGTGGCCACTGAGGTTCACAGCTGAGGGGGTGTCAAGGAAAGCCACAGAGGAAGGAGGAAAGCCTGGTGCTCCCAAACCGCCCCCCAGACACCTGCCGGCTCAGTGCACGAAGAAGCACACACCCGGCTGCCTGCCCCCACCCCACACCTGTGGCAGGTCCTGTCCCTCCAGGCTGCACCCCATGAGTGCAGCTGCGTCCAGCACCCCCCTCAGTCTGTGTGCTGTCTCCTCCCAGCCCACTGCCCTCCCTGCTTCCTCTTTGTGCGGCTGTCGAACCACAACAGGAGCCTGCAAGGTGCCTGCACGAGTGAAAAGACGAACTAATCCACACCAAGTCCTAAGGTATCACATTCCTGCTATAAGGCGAGAAATCACAGAGAGACTTGGAAGTGAGAATCCTGAAGATGGCAAAATCAGCACTGTCTCCTGGAGAGGACAGAAATCCCCTTCAAAGCACATTGAAGGCTATGGATTCAGACAGAGCTGTCAGGAGAGGACCCTTCGCCGCGGCGCCTAGGCCCACGTGTGTGTGTGTTACAAATGCAGGGCCCATGTCCCCAGCCTCCACTTGCTCTGGGAGGATTCTCAGAGCCCCACCTCCGCTGCACAGTCCTGGGAGGACGTTGGGTCTAAGAATGACAAAGACTGCACAGCAGCCAGCCCAGTCTTTTTAATCCAGAAAAGAAAGCTGCTGTGGGTAGAAATGTATTTCACAACTGTTCCTGCTCTATGTCAGGTCTCAACAACTAGCAGCAGCTCCCTCACAGATTTTACAATGATTCAGTAGCCAGTTCCTCTGTTCTTCCTTAAATCCCTAAAAGGGCAGGAAATTTATGGAGCAGACTTTGAGGGAGGCAGGGCGTGGCTGCTAACAGCAGCAACACATCTGCATGGAGCGCTGGAAAGGGTCAGTGAATGGGTCATTCTTCTCATTGTTGTGTTCCACTTGCAAAATGTACTGTTTATAACCCAAAAAAGTACAAAATCTTCCTGGTAAAGAAAGTGTTCTCTCATCCTTGTCATCTAAGAGAGAGCCCAAAATGGGCAGTTGTCCTCAGCAATCAGCCACGCGTCTCTGCTACTTGGGCCCCAGGAAGGACAAATGGAAAAGGGAAGCCACATGTGGAGCAGAATCTGCTGAGAAAAGGCCCGCAAGATCCTGTTGCTTCTGCCACACCTGAAATTATTCCCTTCCGTCTTTCCCCCAGGACAGACTCAGAAGTATCCAGCACTGAATGGATTCCAGAGATCTCAGACAGCAGGAGGTGGGAGAGCGCCCCCTGGAGATTACCAGGAGAAGAGCGGCGGGCTTCTCCAGCAATTAAGCAACCTCCTCACCTGACAGAGAAAGAATGAGACAATGGCCTTGGAATTGAGGACTCAAGCACTAGTGAGGAGGCTCCCCACCCCCTGGGGTGCCCCACCCACTCACCCACCATCCTTCTCCCAGCCTCCACCTGCTCAGGGCTCCGGGGTCCACAGAGGCGTCCAGGCCCAGCACACAGGGTCTGGTGTTCAGCTCCACCCGGCCCACCTTGGACCCTTGCACTCCCACACTGCCCTGTCCACCGGGGCCCTAACACCCAGCTCCAGGCCCTGCTGAACTGGCTGCTCCCCCACATCTGGAGGACCCCAGGGTCCCTTGAGACCCCACTTGTGCTCTCCTCTTGTCAAGTCTGGCCTTGCCCCATGTCTGCCTAACGCATCTCTGCTGTACGCCGAGTACTCAGCGTGAACGTGTCCGTCTGCCTGCCTGTCCACGCCATCCTGTGGCTGCTTTTAGACGCTTCCTCCCAGCTGGTCCAGCTCCTCAAAGGCAGGACCTGTGTCTGGGTCATGTCTGGATTTCTCTGGAGACTGGTGCTTATGTTCCCAAGTTAGATATCCCCAATCAGTGTTTAACTGATCAATATTTGCTTTCAGTATCACCCATGAAGTCCTTCGAACCCAGATGAGAATCCCAGCCGGGTGGAGCTTGCAGAGAAGACGTCAGAAAGAAATCTCTGCTCTCTGCCAGCAATCACCACCATCTTCCTGCCTTCCCCGCTGTCTAAATCTGAGCCGTCATCCGGGACTCAACACCCCTCTGGGACTCAGCCTCCTCTGGGTGCCCAGGTTGCTGCCCTCCGTGTCCCTGGAAGGGCCCTCGTGTACTCGATGGTGTCAAGGGGGCCCTACGTGTGGCAACAGAAGGGTGAAAGCCAAGCCCTCTGCACAGCAGGCTACGCGCTGTCTGAGCAGAAGCAGGTGGGTCACTGACGCTCAATCCGCACAGCCTCCCTCCGAGGCTTATCTAGGAGCCATCAGGCATCAGGCTCCCTAACCCTCGGCAGGGGTTCTCCCCACCCCAGCTTTGGTCAGGCTGTCCTGAGCCGTTTTCTGGGCCAGGCCTCCTATCAGCCTCATCCTTGCCCTTAATTCTAACACTTGATATCCAGTCAAATTCCTTTTCATCTCCTGCAGAGGTTAATTCTGGGGTCAACTTGGCCAGACCCCAAGATGCTCGGTTAAGGGTAAATTCTAGGTGTGTCTGTGAGGGGGGGCGGTCTCCGGAAAAGACTCGCTTTAGGATTGGTCCACTTCACAGTAAAGATGGGAGGGGCAGGGAGGGCCCTTAATTCTAACACTTGATATCCAGTCAAATTCCTTTTCATCTCCTGCAGAGGTTAATTCTGGGGTCAACTTGGCCAGACCCCAAGATGCTCGGTTAAGGGTAAATTCTAGGTGTGTCTGTGAGGGGGGGCGGTCTCCGGAAAAGACTCGCTTTAGGATTGGTCCACTTCACAGTAAAGATGGGAGGGGCAGGGAGGGGAGCCTGACTGTGGGTCGGGCTGGGACATCAGTCTTCTCCCGACTTAGGCGACCTCGGATTTCAGCTTTCTCGCTCACTGGAGTCTACACAGGGGCCTCCAGCTCCCGGACCCTCAGCTGCGCACCTGCTGCAGGCACCTCCACCTCCATCATCGTGGGAACCAGGGCCTTAGCATAAAGCTCTCGGGTTGTTTACTTGTTACCCTGTCTCGTTAGTCACATGCGCAGTCTCCCTGCTGGAGAGTATGGCAGGCAGGGTCTTTTCCTCACCTGCCTGTCTGCGGCACTCTCTGTGAGCTCCGGGTTCAGCTTGGCATGTGATGGAAATAAAGCAGACAGGAATGAAGGCGGGAGCGAGGAAGGGAAGGGGGAGCGGTGCAGGGCGGGCAGGCAACACTAATTAACCTCAGTCAAGTCTGCTGACCCCGACTTATTTGCAGGTGGTCTGGGAGCCTTTGACAGAGGCCTCCCCCATAAGGAGGACCACAAATTTCAGGTGCTGCAATTACAGGTTTCTAAAGTAAACCCTGTAATTACTGAGCTGACACCGCCTGATTGTTACCAGGAGAGGCAGAAGCTCACCAGGGGAAGGTAGATTTGTTATGGGCGACCAAGGAGAGTGGTGCTTTCTTCTAAGCCTTTCCATCCCAGCAGACACCAGCATCCCTCACCAGCCAGGGAAGCCAGAGGTCAGGGAAGCTCTCTGCTTGGATGACAACCTCAAAGATGTTGCCGTTGGCCCCTCGGAAGTGTCCCTGACTCACTGCTCTGGACCGGACCAAAGGCCACTCCTCTGAGAGTCCCCACCCCTCCGCAGCCCCTGACCCTCTTTGGTCCACAGCACACACTTTGGACATCTGGGTGTCCCCTGCAGTGCCCATGCCCAGCCAGCCCCACCTCCTCCCGGGCATTTCTGGGCAACCCTGGGAAATAGACTCAGGCCCACAGAGTGAAACGGACCCTCTACAGCATCCCCAGCTCCTGTCTGGCTCCTCCATCCTGGGCTTGCTCTGGCTTCATCCCAACACAGGCCCACTCCGGAGCAAAGAGAGTTCCTCCCTCACCCTGCTCCAATGAGGCTGGGTCACTGCGACAGTCTCAGGCCCAAAGAACTTTGCAAAAGTACTTTCGAATGAAAATGACACCCTGCCGCTGGATGTGTTGAGGGCTTTGATTTGTTAAGATCAATCTTCTAACTGCTGTTTTCCTGAGGCCCACTGATCAATAGGCTTGTCCTGGGCAGAGCACTGAAAGCCTCCTCATCCCTCCCTCCTCGCCAGACTCTCCCTGCAGACTGAGTCTGGAAGGGACCTCTGCCTCCAGGTTCTCCACAGGCTCCAACCACCTTCAGGGAAGTCCCCGGGGACACAGGGCCCAGACCCTGAGCCACAATGATGCCAGCGTTCTTAGAAGGCTGAGGCAGGAGAGGGCAGGATAAAGCCTTGGTTTCTTCAACTCGTGGAGCTGACATTGAGGAAAAGGCACAAAGGAATTAACAGTTTGTCAGAATCACAGAGCTCTTCAGATCTCTCACAAGGAGAAGCTTCTCAGACTGAAGCTCAGACTCAATTTTAAAGCAGTGATAAATGCAAAGGCGCAAGCAAGAAGGGAGCTGGACCCAGAGCATGCTGCTCACTGAGGCAGAGGATGCAGGGACCACGACCCTGGCATCTCGACTCCCCTGGAGGCCACGGCACTGTCAGACGGGCCTGGCTGAGGGAGAGGGTGTCCGACTAAGAAACGAGCCTTGCGGCAGAGTAGGGGCAACTGCAAGGACAACAACCCAGCGTCCTACAATCCCAGTATCTCAAGATGATGAACCGAAGTCACGAGAGGGGAAAAACCTGTCTTGTGGTGTCCAAATGAGTTGATGGCTTGTTAGAGCTGGTACGATCACCCCCGTCCCGCGTCTGCGGGCCACACAGTCCAGACCTTCAGGTAACACTGACCCCTTCACATATGCGCGTCAGGAAATTCGCCTTTTCACTTAAAGGAAGCCCTTCACCGCCTCTCTTCAGATCTGAATCGCCAGCATTGCTACACTTGTGTTTTGGGGCCACAATTAAGTAAAATAAGAGTGATTTGAATTCCACATAGCTGATGCACCAAGTTGCCATAGTGACCAGGAGCTTCAACCCAGCTGAGGTCTGACTCGCTTTCCATAAACCCTCAAACTCACGCCAACGGAAGGAAGGCCGAGGGGTGGCTCACCTCCAAGCTTATACCCACTGACTCAGCACCTGCTGTGCTCTACAAGGTTCTGGCTTTCCACAGAAAACCCCAAGGTGAACCAACTGGCAAGAAAAAGGTAGGGCCGTCATCAACCGGGTGACAGAGCCATGGAAAGAAGCAGTGAAGGTAAAGATGCCCAGTGGGGATGCCCCTTGCTGAAGCGCAGGAGGGCGTGGAGGGGACAGGGACACAGCTTAGAGCACAGCAGAGCCACGGGAAAGGCAGGATGTGCCGCTGTACCGTCCTCTCCCCTCCGCGGGGACCTCCACCACTACCCACAGCACCCTGAAGAAAAACAGCACACGCGGCCGAAAAGGCACAGCCCAAGCTTCCGCCTCGGCCACAGCGGGCAGCTCCTCATCATCGTGCTTTGCGGCACTCAGCAGCACCGCGGATACCGTAGCTCTCCAGAGGGGACACGGCCAGCAGCTGCCAGAGTTTCCCGTGGTCTGGATACAGGCTGAATAAAACCTGTAACAACCAGAAACATTGAGCGATGCGAGAGCAACAGAACTCAAATCATTTTGACCACTGTAAAATAGCTCGCAAGCATAAGGTCCTGAGTTCGATCCCCAGTACAAAAAAAAAATAGATGAGGGTAACCATCTGCATCCAGACTCCACCAGCTTAATCTGAGTAGCTTTTCCTTGGAAATTAAAATGTTCTGATTCATCCCACTGTGTTTAACTACAGCGGTCCTTGATTATCAATATTTGCCAGATGAATGACCCAGCCACAAAATTAAATCATCCAGGATGGGCAGAGGTGGGTGTCTCCTACAGGAGAGCAGACGCAGCCGCTCCGGTGGTTGTAGCTCGTGATTGTGAGATTGGCAAACAACCTTCTGTACCCTTTAGAGTGGGAGGGGATCAGCGACGCCGCGTACACGTTGAGGCACCTCTCCAGGCTACGTCAGGAAGCTGCCCCTCCCACCAGCTGGCTCCAGGCCCCACGGAAAAAGGGCTTCCGAAGCTCGCAGCAGTGTGAGCACGACTCTCGGGGGCACACGGTAGCCAAGAACAAATCAATCGTGGTGTTTTCAGATTTCGGAAGACCCTCCCCACTTCCCGCACGGGTTTGCGGTGTCTGGGCCTCCGCTCCCCTCCCTGCAGGTGTTGAGAGTACGCAGCGAGCCAGCGTGGGACCAGGAGCCTCCTCGCTGTGCGGAGTCACGGCCGGAGGAACAGAGCCAGGAGCGCACTCTCCGCGTGTACGCAGAACCCCACCTGGGACTGCGCGGGTGGCTTCCCTCAGCGCCTCGCCATCTCCTTCAGGAGCCACCCCGGCCCGGCCCGGAGCTGCGCGCACATGGCCAGCGGGGCAGCAGCGGCACTCACCGAGCACAGCACCACGGAGACAAACAGGCCGGTGACCTTCAGCGCCCGCGCACAGCACCTGCAAGGGGAGGCGGCCCTGAGTCCAAACCCCGCAGCCCTTCCGGAAGCTCCCTGGCCCCCATCGCAAAGCACACCCCGGGACGTGGACTCCGGCCAGGAGGAGGCGGTGGAGGAGCCCAGGAAGCCGTCTGGGCCTGGCCCCTTGCCCGCCCCTTCCTGCCCGCGAGGCTGAGGTGCAAGCTCTGGAGCTCCTCGTCGGCCTCCTGGTGCTCCGGTGGGGGACGGGTGAACTGAACACATGAGCTAGGCCCTGTGACTCATACTTATCACGATGTTCCCCGAGCTTTCTGAAAGGTAGAAACATAACACAAACAGTGCAAGAAAGGAACCCCGTACTGTCCTGTCACTGGTTTTGCTATCAGGGTCTGTGAAGAATTCGTAGAGAAAACTTAATCGACAGACCGCACGCTCCGCCCCTGTTGAGAAGCCCGAGCTGTTCCGACCCCCTGCCTGCCACGCCCTCGGGCTGCAGGACCTGGGCTCACCCAGCCTCCGCAGCTCTTCCCCCCAACTCTCGCTGCTCCACGGATGCCCCACGGCCGGCGCCCCTCAGCTCTGCTCCTGCCCCGTCAAAGGGCACAGCCTTGCCAGTCAGCGGGGCGGCCACAGGCTCACCTCAGCTGTCCCTGTGCAAGGAAGAGGCAGGACGGCCCGGCATCTGCAGACGGGGGGGGGGGGGGGGCG